TAAATTATATATGACACGATATAACCAAAGCAACAGATGGTCAAATTAAACATTTCATTCTTTGCATTTTTGGTTAGCATGCTAATCAATTAGCCTACTAAGCTAACATGTCTAGCGCAAGTTAACTAAGTCATAGAAAAATTTTGAATTTTGCACTATATGTTAAAATGGATATTATAATTTAATTATGTTCAAAATTTTGAAATATATTATACTACTGTCAAAATCTCCAGTCACCAGCCCTGTCACCCCTGAATTACATCTCCCAGCATCCCCCCTGGTTCCCACCTGCACTCAGTCAGTCATCACCTCATCTAGACATATAAGCACTCACCTTATTTATTTGCAATTCTCTGAATTCCACTACTCACCTGCTGCTATCCCTTGTGCACCACTATACCTGTCAATATACCACTGTTTTGGAAGTTACTCTTGTGTATCCTCTTCTGTTGCGTGACAGAAGACTAGACTGCTTAATAAGAGCTCTACGGGGATCTTTTGATTCAAGTATGGATTGCCAATCTGCTGAGATGGAATCTGTTGAAAATATTCTGTTGCTCCGTCGATCAAAATGGCCACAGTATGGAGATGTATGTTGAGGAGTTTATCCAGTATTGTCATTTATTAACCTGGAATGACCAATCTCTCATGGGCTTGTTTTGGATTTGATTAGACAGTCACCTAGCACAACTGATACCATCAGGCAATCCGACCCTCACCCTGAGACAATATTTAGACTGGGTGTCATGAATTTGTGGCTCTCCCCTTGCAGTTGAGGAAGTCAGTGAGGTGAAGAACAACAATGCCGCTAAGCAGCAATTCTCTGTGTAACCAATCCCTTCCTAGGTGCCAATCCTCGTCGTCCAGTACCAAACCAGTAATAACCATCAGAGCCATGCCGACTTCTCATCTTGACAAGTCGGCCAAGCACAGTTTAAAAAGATCAGCTCCAGTCAGTATTCGACTGACTTCAAAGGTGTAGGATTTTTCCATCAGGTCCGTCCATAAGGCAAGGAGATCAAGATCAGCAGTCCTAAGTCAGCCCATTTTAAATGAGTCACAGTCCATGAGTCTGCTCCAGTCCTAGATTCTGTTCTTGTCAATGCCCTGTCAGATTTTGCTTCTGCCCAGAAGTCAACTCAGAAGCCCGTTCTAGCCTTAGTAATCCATCAAATACCTATTCAATCCACAGAGCTCAACCTAGAATCTTCTTCCTTGTTGAACATCACTATAATCCCAGCACAAAGGAGGAGGATAAAGAGAAAAAAGTCAAACTTTCATCACTCTGCTTCAGCCTTTGAGCCCAGTCCAGTGTTGGCTCTAGCCCCTGAGCCCAGTCCAGTCTCAGCTCCAGCACCTGACCACAGTCCAGTGATGGCTCTAGCTCCTGACCAGAGTCCAGTGATGGCTCAAGCCCCTGAGCACAGTCTAGTGAAGGCTACAGCCCCCGAGTTCAGTCCAGAGTCCATTTCAGAGTTTCCCGCTATCATGGAAGCTATGTCGGAGTCTCCTGATGTCCCGGCCATCATGTCAGAACCCATTCTGAGAGTTCCAAACACAGAGGATTCAGAGACCCCTTTACCACTGTTTGCTCTCCCTGCTACAGCGGTGGCCATAATGCGTGTCTGGGCTGCACACTGCTCTCCAACTTCTATTGAAGTGGCGGTATTCATCCACAAATTTCCCGTACGCCCTGATGGGACCAAGGAGATGGTTCTTGAGTTTCCTTTTTGCCCAGATGCATCCATGGGGATCGTTCCCAAGTTTCCTGTTTGCTTATATGTGACTACGGAGGTCATACCCAAATTTCCTGTCTGTCTAGATGTGACCAAATAGGTCATCCCAGAGTTACCGGTTTGCCCTGATGTAGCCATGGAGGTTGTCCCCGTCTACTCAAACACAGCCACATGCCACCTTGTCACAGCCACAGAGGTCGATCTAAGTCCCCTCGTCACGGCCATAGAGGCTAATCAAAGACCCCTCATCACGGCCACAGATGCTGATCAATGTTCCCTCGTCTCGGCTATGGAAGCCACCCTAGAACTCTCTGTTTGTCTTTTTGTCTCATTAGGTCTACTGAAATCAGCCCTTCAGTCTACAGGTCAGCCGGCACGTCAAAAGTCTACAGGTCAGCCAGCACACAAGACACACGCCAAACGCCCGTCTCTCAGCCGGCACTCCAGATGCCTGTCTCTCAGCCAGCCCCCCAAATGTTCTCTAGCCAGCCACCCATCCAAATATTCTCAAGCCAGCCGATCCTCCTGACAGTTACAAGCCAGCCAGTCTGCCTGAGTTAGTTTCTTCTGCTCGGCTGTGGTGGTCTTCAGCTCCAACGTGGAGATCTCCTGCTCGGCCGGCCCCCCAAAACTGATGGTCTCAAGCCAACCAGTCTACTTGGGGTTAGTTTCATCTGCTCGACTGTGGTGGAGGTTTTCAGCTCCACCGTGAGGATCTCCTGCTCTGCCAGCTCCACCTTGGAGGTCTTCAGCTCCGCTGTGTGGATCCCCTGCTCTGCCAGCTCAACCTTGGGAGTCTTCTACTCTGCCCTGCATCATGGACTGTCTGCTGTGGATTCTATCTTGGCTCATTCTGTCCTGGCTTCTTCCTATTCCTACCACTCCCCAGCTAGGGAGTACTGTCACAATCTCCAGTCTCCAGCCCTGTCACCACCGAACTACATCTCCCAGCATCCCTACTGGTTCTCACCTGCACTCAGTCAGTCATCACCACACCTGCCATTGATCATCACCTCATCTAGACACATATAAGCACTCACCTTGCCTACCCTTATTGTCTGGCTATGTTGTGCACAACTCTGTGTGAACTTACCTGAATACTTACCTGTGGATTGTTCTGTCTTCAAGTCATCTTCTGTCTTCATTGTTCCCTGTTGTTCCAGCCAATGCCCACATGAGATAAGGAATTCTGTTATTTAAGTTATTTGCAATTCTCTGAATTCCAGTACTCACCTGCTGCTATCACTTGTGCACCACTATACCTGTCAATAAACCACTGTTTTGGAAGTTACCGTTGTGTATCCTCTTCTTTTGAATGACAACTACAATGTCCACATTGAGGTATAATTTTATTTTGACTGTATTTTCAGCTACAGGAAGAAGATAGGATCTAGCATTACAAACAGCTAACTCTTGAGGTCCAAATGGGATATTCTGTAGGGAGAATTGAATCTTGAAGAAAAAAGCCAACTGGTGAAAATTGCCCCATGTTTAGAACATTATGTGTATATCACAGAAGAAAACTGTGTTCATCCTTGAGCTTTAAAACTAATTTATAATATAATACACAGCAAATATTTTCAACCAACTGTCCCAAGGTAGTCACTCAAAACCTTGCTTGTGAGGGGAAATACAAGAATTGAATGTGAAATTTTCCCTGGAAAATGTGAAAAGGAAAATGTTCCTGTCTTCCTGACTGGGGAACGACAGCTTGTGTGGCAATTAAGGAGGCAACACAATGTTTTGAAGTTGAACAGCCTTCATTCAGCCAAAAACAATTTGAGCATTAATGCAGATTTCCTGAGCAGCAATCAGTTACTGGGAAGAAGGAAAGACACTCAGATATGTGATTAGACTCTCATTGTTCTGAGAAATGGACTACCAACAGTAAAATATATCGACAGATAGTGGTCAAATGTGTCATTTTTTTAGATTAGATGGGTCATGTGCAGATAAACAATTTCATTTCTATTTCTGTTTCTCTGGAATTCTCTTTTTGTCAACTAACACATCTTTATTGATCGATAGAATGATGATTTATTTTCCCCTAACCATGTCTGTCATCTCACTATCAATCCTCCTTTAAGAACACTTAAATAACAAACAAGAGCATCACTCTGGCACTTTTTATCTTTATGAATTAACAAAAATAAATAAATAAATCTCACTTAATTTATTTGCGTACTGGGATGTTTGTTTGTCTGTGTAATGAATCTGATCTAAATGAATGATTACAATCCAATCATATGCTGCAGTAGCACAGTTTGCCTATAGACTCTATTGCCTATAGATTGGTTATAACAATCAAATCAGTTTCGCAACATCTGTTCAGGCTCATTTAGTGACAGGTGTCTCATAACACAATTTTTGTCTATAGATGATTTCTAGAAAAATCTGTAGATTAGTGCTTCCAGCTTATTTATAATATGTGCACAGATGCCAGACAAAGGCAGATTTCTGCAGTAATGCTCTTCACGTCTCCCTTGCACTTCTCTCTTCTTCACAACAACTGTTTATGTTCATCCCTTCACATATCTCAGCCCACCACAGCACAGAAACCAACATCAAAGGCAAATACAATTAGAAAACAACACACACAGACTCTATATTTCTCCAACTTCATAAAAACACACTGAAAATCCATTGAACAACTCTGCAATAAGTAATATAACATGTCTTATAACGGGAGGTCTTTACTTTAAAATGATAATTATGATGGTAAAAGGCCATTTAACAGTCTGCTTTAATCATAGATGATATTTCAGACTTACTAGGATTTTGATACTAAGTAAATTTCATTTTATAATACTGGATTACACTGCTCTATTTGTCTTATGTTTTGAGATGCACTGTCTTGCACAGAGCAACCAGCAGGGTGTTACAGACATCAATTGTACTTTGTATCTACCAGGCAGAAGGCTTATGACAGGAAGAGTTGGATAATCCACAAGGTCTAAACAAATCCTGTAACAATTCCAGTACTAGAGCATGTGGTCTGAGAATGGGCTGCTTTGGTAATTCCTTACACTTTTGAGAATTTAGACTGACATGCAAAACATTTGCAAATGGAACATCATTCTTACAAGAGCTTAAATGTACAAACAGTACAATAAACATCACAACTAGCAGAAGCTAAGAAATCTGTGGAACCCAGAGCTGTTAAACTCAGGTGTCCCAGTCAGACATCTGTGTACCCCAGCATGCAAAGTGTGTTTTGCATGTGGCTGACAACAGTTTTATGACAGAAAGAGTTGTAACACTCACGGCTGGATTGGCAGGGGTCACTGTGTATGCTGTCATTCGATTGGTTGCTGGACACAGAAGACACGCTAGCACTGCGGACAAAGCCAAAGGTGGCCAGTCGAGCAGGAGGCAGATGGGAGAAGCCGGGAGGACGCAGTCCAGAATGACCCGGTTTGGGGAACATAAATTTGGGGGCCACACCCAATGATAGTCTCTTCTGATCCACTGTAAAGCAGGAGACAAATCTTAGTATTCCCTCAAACAAATCTCATAAAATCATTTACAGATAGCATGGCTTGGGATTACTTTCTACAATCCATAAAAATATTAATTAATTAAATAAATAATCTTGACCTAATCTGCCTTTTAAATCATGACACTAATACAATGGAATCAATACCATATAAGGAGTAAAAAAAGAAATTGTACACACATTTAAAAATTATTTTTAAATGTTAAATAGTCCTCGCAAATTAAAGGGGTCATATGATGTGATTTCCTGTTTTCCTTTGTCTTTGGAGTGTTAAAAGCTGTTCGTGCATACAGAAGATCCATAAAGTCTCAAAGATTAAAGTCTCAAACCCAAAGAGATATTCTTTATAAAAGTGAACGCTCATCCACGCCTTCCTAAAATGCCTCGTTCAAACACGCCCCCACATATCTACGTCACTGTGTGGGAAGATTTGCATAACGCCGCCCAAATGTATACACAAAGAAAGAAGGCGTAACTTTTATTCTCACTGTAGTATTGTTGCTGCTGTGTGTTTCGTTGCGAATGTCAAACTACTTTGTTTGGCCTTCCAAAAAACGACACAACTAGAAATCAGTAGTTAAGTTTTATTTACAACACTGTTCCAGAACAGTACAACCCAAATATTTGAGTGTTTGCAGCACATTTTACGGAGGAAAGTTTCCTGAACCTGGTAAGGGGCGTAACATTTTCGTCACATGCTTGATGTATTTAGCCAATCACAACGCACTAGATAGCTGGCCAATCAGAGCACACCACGCTTTTCAGAACGATGAGCTTTGTAAAAATCGACGCATTTCAGAAAGGCGGGGCATAGAGGAGCAACAAAAATGTACGGTATGTGGAAAATAATAATGTAAAAAAATTTTTACCCTTAAACCACATAAACACATTGCATTACACCAAATACACAAAATAATGTTCTTTTTAGCAACGTCATATCACCCCTTTAAATTCCATACACAAAAGACATGGAACAAATCACATGCATTACTTTTATGACATTTCTATATTACATTTTGGCCTTTTTGGACAGTGTGACAGTGTGAATCTTTACCCACTTATGGTGTATGCAAAGGAGCATTTGTCTAAAAGAGCACTTTTCTAAAGACCTGGATAGATATATGTAGTTTGCATTGGTACAGCTCATTAATAAAATAACCAATAGAAAATACCATTTGAAAGGGTGTAGGTATTTTCATTTGACAGTTTTAATGATCCTTTTGTGAGATTAAGGATTCTGGATGGCTGATTTATTAATTTCTGCATTTTCCAGGACAGGGTGATATTTAATACAACTGACTGGCAAAAGTCCAGCTCATTGATTTACTTCCAGAAGAATAAAGAGAGACTAAATTTTTATCACATTTAAAAGAGATATATCTAAATGTGAGATAATTAACTTCTGACAGGCTTACCCAAAGTCACAGTTTTGATCTCTGAAGAGATTTGAAAACATTACAAAGCTTTAAGCAGTGGACGAATTGTAAAACAAATTCAGGGGGGATGGTGTGGTCAATTTCGTTGGTGGGGAAGGGTGTCCTGTAGCTAATTTTACAAAATGATTACAAACTTTGTCTAATTTTTAAACAGATTTTTATTTAATGAAAAATTAGCTTTATTAAATTAACTTTTATTTATAAGCTGTATTCCTTCAGGGGCCTGAAATGGAGGAATTTTGGTCAATACTGATAATTAAATGATATTTTGATGAATGTGTTTTTGTGCTGGCACAAAACAATTTGTTCAAAAAGGCTGAAATTAAAAATGGACTGTTGAATCACTGGCTTATTCGATTCGTTCATAAACAGATTCATTCAAGAAACAAAAAACTTTGTTGCTCTGCACTGTTTGTATAAAATTAATAGCACGTGCTGATATTCAGGAAAGTACATTGCTTGTGTGGTGAATATAAAAATATAAAAACTCATACATGGGTATTTTTTCTTTAATTGACTGAATTATAAGGGCATTCTAACTGCATTCTAATAGGCTTCATCGCTCAGTGAATGCTTTTTGACTCTCAAGCCATGTTTTTGTTTTTTTATGCAAAATCGGTGACATACTTGATAATGTCAGCTCTCCTATAGTGTATATAGCACAATAACATTATGTCAGGGGAATGTCTTTAAATTCTAATCAAGGAAAAATCATACCTTCTGTTGTCTTCTTTTTCAAAAACTTCAAAAGTTGAGCTTGAATCATTTTGTGCGAAAAATGATGAAAACTTGCTTCAGCTTGTGCACTGATTGGCCAATCGCCGTTATTTAGTTTGTAAATTATCATACATAGAGAATTTTAACATTTCATTTGCATAATAAGTTTTACATAATACACAAAATTAATAATCTAAAAGGCATGGTAAGGGGGGATGCTTTTTGTCTTTTTTTTTCAACGAGGGGGATGACAACTGGGGACTTTGAGGATTTTAGCACCTACTGACCTGCAGGTTCCTGGTGACTACTTGGGGCCTGAACAGCTGGAGCCGTATAACTGAGGGGTGATGCTGACCTTTGACCTGCTAACACCGTCCTGTTCTTAGTAGCAGGCTGTCTGGTAACAGCTCCAAGGCCAAGCTGAGGCCTTAGGGCTCTGGGAAAGCGAAAAACGGCAGCAGCAGCATCATGGGTATTTAGCTGAACCACTCTACCACCCTGAAACCATAAGAAGCATCTATTGATGTTTTTGTTACCACAAATTTAATAAAGCAGTTGAGAGAATTAATAAATTATGCTTACTGCTCATGCTTTCACAAGCACAACACATTTATCTAGAGTTCAGTAGTGCTATGTTAGCAACTGAGAATGTCTACTACACAAGTCCCACCTGTAAATATTGATCTGGCAGTTCCCCGTGGAAACTCTCTGATTTGCCCACCAGTTTATGGGGGACAGTGTGGCTCAGTGGCCTGATCCCAGACTCTATCAGTCCTGGAGGGGAGTAGTACCCTGACCTCTGTACTTCTTGACGATACTTTTCATAAAGGATATTAGAGGAGCTCAGCACGGGTGAACCTCTGAACCTCTCGGCCTTGGATTCTTTTGAGGTTGGTGAGCTACTGTAAGGTGTAAGTCTTGGCGGTAGCGTCGATACTTCATAGGGACCTTCAGACATTGGTTTCACTTGAGGGCTTTTGCGGACATATGTTATGATTTTTGGTCGAACATTTTTGGGCTTCTGAGGTGGAGAAGACTTCTTAGATTCACACTCTGCTTTAGTGGGTTGCTGAGGAATGGCAGGTTTTGGGAGACTGCTACTACTACTGAGAAAACTTTTACTTGGTTGCCTCAAACCAGTGGTTCCCCTCTCTAAGGTTTCATTTTGTTCCTGACTTGCTTCTCTTGTGCTAATAGGCTTGGCTGGTGATGAAGGTGGCTGTTTCCGAGGTGAACAGGTGGCTTTAGGGGATGGAGGGGTCTCAGGGCGAGACGGGCTGCCCCAAGGTCTTCGCCTTTCCAAACTCGATGCACTAGAACGTTGGGTCTTTTCAAAAGAAGCTTGATTCTTGTAAGGTTGGGGTTCAGAACCACCAGAGTGCACAGGTGTATTCGTTGAGGTTAGTTTTGAGGTTTTAAGAACAATTTTAGGAGATTCATCATTCTGGGATTTGAGTTTATTATTTATATCACCAGTGGAGTCATGGGAGAACCTTCTGTTATGTGCAGCAGACTGTGTGATGTCTGAGACAAGAGGTTGGCAAGGTTTCTTCTCAGTTGATATTGTTTTCAAATTTGGAGCCTTGTCTTCTGTTCCATGGTACTCCTTTACATGAATTCCAGGTTCTCCTAGATTGTCCTGACTGGTAATTCCTGATTCATTAGGGATCTTCTTGATCCTTGCAATTCTACATTCACTCATGCCATTTGTCAGTTGACCTGAGCTCTCATATGTTACAAAGTCTGTAGCTGGTTGGTTTTCTTGTGCTTCTAAAAGGGGTTCCTCAGGCAAGGTGGTAGAGTTAAGATTGAGATCAACACTGCCAATGTGCTTTGTACTTTTTCCTGGCTGATGATGCATGCCTTCAATATGTACAGAGCTCCGGCTTTTATCCGAAATAGTTAAACAGGTCTGTGAGGCAAGGGTAAGGTCCTCAGAGAGAGTTCGGAATGGCCCTGAGGGAGCATGCCACGAATCAGAGCTTTGGGTTCGACCAGCGTGGTCCAGAGCACTAGCAAGACTTCCTCCAAGACTAGACATTGTGGAGAGGCAAGAGACAAAAACATCATTTTCAGAGCTAAACTCAGTCCTGGCTATGCTGGTCATCATTTCTTTGTTAGTGGACTGAGGACAAACAGTAGACTCTTGCTCCTTTGAAATAAACTGGGAGAACATTTTGCTATCCTTCGGAGACTTTGCTTCAGTCTGCATCATATTGGTGGATATAGCCCCATTCATGTCACTTTTAGGAATACTGTTCTCTTCATCATCCTCTAGTTCCTGACTTTCCAGCATCTCAAACTCAGCCAACTCTGGGTCATCACATGGGGAATCTGTGCCCTGGATAATCAGCTTCACCCGTTCTTCAGTGTGAGATACCACAGAGGACAGGGTTTCAGTTACCTCCCAACTTGTTCCTCCATCTCCTCTTTGGATTTCATTAGCATTGCCATCACCATCCAGGGAATCTTCAACATGTCTGTTGTTGTTACTGATTTCCTTACAGCCATCTTCAATGCTGGTCCCGAAGGGTCTGGTGTGTTCATCATTCACACTCATATTTCCTGATGGTTCATGTGTTCTCAAGCTTTCATGTAGAGTCTTGTTGATCCCCCCTTGAGATCTGGAGCTCTCTCCACTTTCACATTTAAAGCTAAAGTAAGTATTGGCATCTTTCACACTGTAAGTTGAGATACTGATTTTAAGTAGATAACATCAGGGGTTGTCTTCAAGGTGTCAAGGTGGGTAAACAACACCACATTTAGAAATGTCTTGACATAAAACCTGTAACAGAAATACAAATAAGAAATAATCTAGACACAATCAGACGTGTTCATGTTCAATATTCTAACTTTATACCCATAAAATGATTTGGTGGTAGTATGTTTTGACATCCACAAAGCCTCTCGTTTGTGCAGAATCTATTTATGTTTCCCTTAAAGGGCAAATTAGGGGTAATTTATAGTCTGATGGTCAATGAATAGAGTGTGATCATTTGGTTGATCTAATTGACTGTTAATTAAGCAATTTAAATTTGTAGGTTAAACACTGCATTACATAATCCTTAAGAAAGCAGTTTAAGGTGCAAATTTGGTTATCGGAAAACCTTTCTAATTATTATCTCACTTGAAAATGGTTGTGGTGCTAAATTAATTGTGAAAACGTTTTTAAAATTCCTAAAAAGGTTAGTTCACCCAAAAATGAAAATTCTCACCCTCATGTCGTTGCAAACCCGTAAGACCTTCGTTCATCTTCGGAACACAAATTAAGATATTTTTGATAAAATCTGAGAACTCTCTGACCTGCATAGACAGCAATGCAACTGCAATGTTCCCAGGTCCAGAAACGTAGCAAGAACATCGGTAAAACAGTCCATGTGACATCAGTGGCTCAACATCGGGACACTCTCCAAAATGGCGGAAGACGTTAACTCGGGGAGAAGAAATGTTGAATAAATTATGTTATTTTTGTTTTCTTTGCGCACAAAAAGTATACTCGTAGCTTCGCAAAATTAAAGTTGAGCCACTGATGTCTCATGGGCTGTTTTACCGATGTCCTTGCTACGTTTCTGGGTCTGGGAACATTTCAGTTGCGTTGCTGTCTATGCAGGTCAGAGAGTTCTCAGATTACATCAAAAATTTCTTAATTTGTGTTCCGAAGATGAACCAAGGTCTCATGGGTTTGGAACGACATGAGGGTGAGTAATTAAAGATAGCATTTTCATTTTTGGGATAACTAACCCTTAATTTCTTGTTACTGTACGTATTTCTTTTGAACTTGCATTGCACACTTCTGTTAAAAATCTACCTTAACATTGCTCTTTTGTTAATTCCTTGGTAAGCACAAGTGCAAACACTGGCATTTTCTTTACATAAATGACAACATGATATCTTAAAATGATTTCTCAGCTGAAAAAACTCCTTGGAATAATACATATTTTAATGCTTCAGTCAAATGGGATTTGGTGTAATATTTTATCCAGATCATGAAATTCTTTCATACACAACTATAAACACACTGATAACTCTCCATGCAGTGAGAAAGCACACTCATGCTTAGTTCTCCCTAGCAACAAGAACAGCACCTACACTCCAGAATGTTAACCGTAGGAGGTCATTCCCTGAGGTAACGGCAGACAAATGTTCTCAACAGGAACATATTTTCCAGGAAAAGGTGCAATGACTGATTTTGTAATAGATAAATAATAGATTATAGTTTATGAAGTGTCTAAATTAGCCAATGATCCTAATAGATACCATGCTGAAGAAAGACTATTGTTCAACAAGAAGGCTAATTAACATTACACTATTATATTGTTTAAATTTGATACTATTACAAATGATATATTGTACCACAAACTTAAACCCCACTAAAAGCTGTTTTCATAAACGGATAACAAAAAACAATCCATAACCTAAATCTATCATTAAGACATTCTGCTAGGCTGGCCGCTGACAGACCTAGGTAAACAAAATATATTTTGTGCATGTATACTTCTTGGCATGGTCCATTTTCTTGACCTACTTTGTGCATCTGATGGTTTAGTGCATCTGCAGTCAATCATTACTTTTCACTTACTATCATAATGATGTCTCATCATCTCTCTATGTCTGTAATAATTTTTTTTCATATGAAATACTTGCTTTCCATATAATTATACATTTCATAGTGACCATCTCTGTCAAGATCAATAAAAAAAACTTGTTTTTAAAGACACTGTCACTAATCTTTATTATTTTGTGTAAACTATTTAAGTTCTCTTTGGCTATACAGTAAAGATTAAAATTTATACAGTAAAGATGAAAGTTACAGCCAAGTCATTGAAAATAAATAAATGAATAACATAAAACTGACCTCAATTACCCAATGAGCAACTGGTTAGTGACATGCTCACGCTAAATGTTATGGAATAATTTAAACAGTCACTGTTAAGCTGTCAGAGACAATGACTAACTGTCACAGACTGATTGTCTGTATGACAGTTTGTCGGTCGCATGTGACGAGTCACATCATTGTCAGGTCTGCAGGTCACAGTAATGCAGCCCCGTCTGAAAGCATGAAGAGATGTAGAATATGTCTCAAGAGATATCCTGCAACAGATCATCACAACCATTTAGAGTCAGGAGCTCAATTATTTACAAGAGGAAGGTAGACAGAAATAGAGAATGAAAACAACCAGTGTCGGGTATGCTACTTGGAAAATACAGCTTGTCAAGCAACAAGCTATACTCAAAGAGTAGAACAGTATTTATCTGGTACACAGAAAATAAAAATCCCCAAATAGGCTGACACTTTTTTAATATACAATGTATAATCAAAAACGTTTATCAATTTAATCACACTTTTTAAAACAAAGGTTCTTTAGTGGAAAGGGTTCTTCTGATTAAAATTTCCTTCACAATAAGAAAAATATGGTTCTTTAAATAACTGTTCCCCCAAAATGGCTCTTCTATGGCATTGCAAAAAACCCTATATGAAACATTTATTTTTAAAAGTGAAGTTAAAACAGTTATGCACAGCAGCATTTAAATAAATAATAAATTATTCTGTAAAATTATTGTAATAAATATTATATTGTTTTGTTAATACAACATAAATGCTTCACAGAATAATTTAATTATTTACACAAACCAAACCAATTAAATGAATTGGACATCCCAAAGTTCAATTCGGCACATCCATGTAAACACTCTCATAGCAAACACACACACACACCAAACCTTCTACTTCACCTACTTTTACAGAAAAGGCTCAGAAGTCCTCAAAAGTTAAAATTTGTAAAGACTTCACAGCCCAACACTAGGAATAGGTTTAAGCTTGCAAGTACAGATAGATATGACACTAATTATTATACAGTTTATAGAGTGTTTTGATGCACAATATATTTAACTTTGCTTTTTTAAAGCATTTTATTTCTACTACCAAAATGTAGGATTATACTACCAAAATCTAGGTAGTCTCTTATATGAGATGGAATGGCCTGAGTACTTGAACTACCAGCCATTTTTTTCTTTTCTTTAAATTGTATTGTATTTCATTTCATTTTTACTCTGAAAGTTGCCAAAAATGGCTAGATCCATAATGAAGTGCACCAGGCAATTTAGTTTTAATTACAGTATTCAGCAAAGGTTGCATGTTCTGAAACTATACTGCTATCACAGACATTAAATCTGGATGGGATTCGATTTCTCAGATCACACCGGAGTTAGTTAAAAAAAAAGTAGATAATTCCCTCAGACATTTTTTTTTATTTTTACAAAGTTTGCAAAAGATTTTTGCAATTTGTACGGGATTACAGAGTATATTTGTGAACTACAAATTTACCTGACTTCTTCATCCACATTGGGCTAATGACAAATTTATACACAAGACATGCCTCGTATGTTTATATGTTTATGCTAAATAAAGGCTAAAGACACAATTCTCAGCAGGTATGAAGCTTAAGTATATTACCAACCATTAACAGCATCTGGAGCTTTACAATTCAATGATTCTCAACCATGATCACTCAAACTACAGCTTTGTGGTTTCTATCTCATATATTAGTGCATCAATAGAGGGAACAAAGCACCAGTCACGTGAACTGAAAAAGCCCAATTTAAAATCAGACTCTTATATTGACTGGTGGAATCTCTACATGGCTCAGTCAGCGGGGATGAGGTTTCCTCCTGGTTGATGGATGTTGAGCCGACAGTGAACAGATCAGAAAGCACAGCAATGGCTTTGTTTCGACTTTGTTCAAGTGAGCATGCATGATGAATTCCTGCTCTGCACTTCTCTGCGGCGGATTGTGACTTATTACTGCAAACCAAGCTTACTATTTTAGAACAACACAGTATATAAAATGGGCCACACAAGATGTGGTTTTGTGTGCCAATGTTTTTTTTAACTCTAATTTTGACCACACATAAGACTTTGACCATGACATTGTTTTTTGCAGCATAAGCGCTAAATCTGGGAGGGGGATAAACATAATTTGCTACAGTTTTTTAACTGAATTCACAATTCAAGTGCTTTAACAAGGGGGACACATCTAAACTGTTCAATGTTTTTTTTAACAAGTTGGTTAAATAAATTATATAATGACTCATTCATAAAGATAGTTACTTTCTTAGTTCTGGAATGAATCTGCATTTTTTAACAAAGTGAATGGTTCAAATGACTCACTCATAAGCACAATCTTTTGTCACCACCTACAGGCATAACATGTATTAACGTAAACTGCAGACCGAATGCACAAACTAATAGTCTGTCTGAATGCGCAAAGACAGACAAGGTACTTTCAGGTACTTCCAGAATTCATAGACCCTCTTCTGAATATTATTAATTCATCATTGTGATTAGGATATGTTCCAAAAAACTGGCTGTCATTAAAAGCCTCTCATTAAAAAAAAAAAAAAAAAAAATTGATCCTGGAGCATTTGTTAATTACAGACCGATCTCAAATCTCCCTTTTCTGTCAAAGATACTAGAAAATGTAGTTTCTTCATTCTTTCTTAGAGAAAAATGGTATCTGTGAGGATTTCCAGTCAGGATTTAGACAATATCACAGTACAGAGACTGCTCTCATCAGAGTTACAAATGACCTGCTCTTGTCATCCGATCATGGTTGTATCTCTCTATTAGTGCTACTGGATCTTAGTGCTGAGTTCGTCACTATCGACCACAACATTCTTTTGAATAGACTAGAAAATTATATTGGCATTAGTGGAGTTGCATTGGCATGGTTCAAATCATGCGTATCTGACCGTCATCAATTTGTAGCAGTGAATGAAGAAGTA